AAACTGTTAACCCTGCTGACAACCTTTAGCATCCTACGTAATAAGGTATAGTCTTTCTTCAATAGCCCAAGAAAGACTAAGGGGGAACAATAGAGAATAATAGGCAGAATACGGGAGTTAACAAATTGTAGTAGTAAGGGTTGGGTTACACCAGAATGTCTTAACTTCTTGATGTAGAAGGTAAGACGGAATATTTTCTTAGAAAACCTCAAGATATGAGTCGACCAGGAAAGATTAGAAGATAGAGTGACGTCTAGGTATTTAATTTCCGACTTCGTTTCGATTTCAGTGCCATCTGTGTTGCACACTTCGTGAGTGCTAACCAGTTTGTTTAGGTCAGATTTGTGCCTAAAGGTGAAATTAACTGTTTGGCATTTGGAGGGGTTTAAGGTGAGACCGTTTTCCTTGGACCATTGGCTGATTTCTGATAAGAAGCCATTTAGTTTAGAGCAGTCCCTTTGACATTTGACAGGTAAAGATACAGTTAGGTCGTCAGCATATTTGACAACGTTAATGTCATTTGAAGATGGTAGGTCATGTAGAAAGAATGAAAAGACAAAATGTGGTGAATAATCAAATTGTAACTAGGAGAGGGGATAAAACCATCAGCCTGTTATGCACTCGTCGAGTAGTTAATAGTCCTGACGCGGAAAGAGGGAAATTAGAAGAACACCAGGTTTACGATGATACTTGTATTTTCCAGACAAGGAAAATAAATGTCACACAAGAGTGTGTGATTGAAATGGTACGAGAGTACGAAATGTGTGAACACAAGAATATAATTAAAAGTATATATGAAAATGCACCTTATCCAATAAGATAAGGTCTTACTATTATTGGTTGTAATGTCATGTGACAACAAGGTCATACATGTTTATTTAGTTAGTGGACAGACAAAAGCATAATGTCAGTTAGAATGGAGTATAGATCCATATACACATAGCAAAATATAACTGTCAAAAACAAAACACACATCATGTGGATACATATCACAGCCTCAATGGGTTGATCTCTGACAAATTCTCAGTACGGATACAGAGGGCTATTTTCACATATGCCAGTTTACACCGTCTCTGGCTTAGTGGACGTGATATCCGATTGACTATCCATCAAAGGGCGTGTGTACTGATCAACAACAGCTAGCTGTGTCCTCCTGTATCGCTGTCTGTGAGACCTGGCCTTTGAAAGTGAAGGACATGAAAACGCAGGCTAGCTGTGTTTGATCATAGGTACCTGCGTTCTATCTCCCATGTGAACTGGTGTGTTGAAGTCAGCAATATTGAGGTTAGGCATCGGTTGAGTGCTAGGGTAAGGAGGGAGGGGAAATCAATCGTAGAGATTGTGAATTTACACTGGTTGAAATGGTTGGAATATGTGTTATGCATGCCTAGCCATCACCTTTCTCGACAACGGGCAATGTTAGCTGACATCGGATGGATCACGTTGGAAAAGAGCCAGTGTTGGTCAAACCAAAACTAAGATGGCTTCATCAGTCAATGAAGAAATCCACAACAGTTAGTTTAAGCCAGCCAGCCACATAGGAAGGTGTAGACTCCCTGACTGGTTGGGGTCCTCGGGATGGTAAAAACCAATGGTTGGAAACAATTGGTGACATGGCTCAAACTCATCGTTCTCAATGGCTGGCATAGATGCATCCACTCCTAGTGAATTATTATTTCCAATGAAACTATATTGTTCTTCGTTATTACTATTCCTTTGTCTCACACCTCTGTTTACTGTCTCTCTCATGCATTTCTTCTCTTGCTTTGTGTGCTACATGGATGGAGTGTGGGAACATGAACTGGTGCACATCGGTGCAAAGTTCTGTGTCGAAAACAGACACGGGATGAAACTTATTAAAAGGGTAGTAGTGATGAGTTTTCAATCCATAAAAAAAGAAGTTGAATAAGTGCATTACAGTTACGTAATAAGACGAATAATTTAATGAATGAATTGTGATCAGGATGCACATAGAAACGCAGGAAAATATGAAATAATCTAAGAGTCTTGAAGGAATACAAGGGTTAGAAGAAAAACAAGCACACAAAAAAGTCAAGTCAGTAAAAATCAACACGGTTGTCACCATGATAGTAAAAGCAGTTGAATAATTCCCTTTTATATACATAACTCTGGCTTTCCCAACTGAATGGCTAAGGCTTCAGCAATACAAAGGTTATTTTCTTCACTTTATAGACCACTCTAAAGGAGACGTTTGTTAAGATAAAAAGGGCCAGTGACGACGAGGTGTTCGATTATCTCACTCATTATACAGCCACTTATACTGTGGTGAGAGCTGGCCACTAGCCAAATTGGTAGACAGTCATCTACGTGAATGTTTACGTTCCCAGTATTGGTCGTGAGAAAAATAAGAACAAAGTCTGATTCAACAACTAATCACAGCAGACTTTGCGTAGGCGGATACAATTTGCAGATAGATTATCTCAACTTCAAGGAACAGCCACAAAGAGATGAAAGATTCACGTTCAGCGAGAATCCATCAATCAGAAGACTGTGTTTGTTTGTCTACAATAATCTCTAATAATGTGCATGAAAATCTATAAATATGTGTTGATTTCCTAAATAAACGATCTGTTGCCTGACCCTTGTCTTTTGTTGTTACAATACTACCTTTCTGAAGTAATGAGGCATAGTGTTCTTGACAGGATATTGTCGTCGAACGACCAATGTACCTGGCTGACTCCACAGCAACAGGTCGTCTGACATATCCTGATATATAAGTGGTCAGACACAAGATCTTGTCCTTAAGGCTTCTGCAGAATACTACTCTTAGCGTTGTTCCGAAGAATGTTCTTCTCAAAGATGCTGCAATTCTCTTCTTGAGGACATCGCAGACTAAGTATTTCTTGAAATCAAGATTCAAGTAACGTTTCTTATAAAAACGAACTGGCTATTCAGTAGCTAAAGTATGTTTAAATCATCTCTCACTGATTACTTGTGTGTTTTGCTATTCAGCACTGTATACAGTTAAAAAAATTTCATTCAATCAGTTCCCTCTGATTAGTTTGAACACACAAAGAACTAACATATTTTGCAGGATAATACGAGTTCAGGTCTCCAAATTTACTTAATTGTTTGTCCATGTCATCATTTTACTTTCACCACCCACCCACTCACTAACTTCTTTAACTTTCCCATTATATGATGCATAAATTCACTATGTTGTTCAATTTCCCTATTGTCTCTAGCCAGTCCTTGTCTCTAAGCAAAATCTGGCCCCCCAACCACTACCACATCTTGTCTACTTATACTATAAATAGTTAGTCTTTTAACATTGAGTAAAATAATTTGTCTGCTTACATCACTTTTTTTGAAATTATTTTGCTTATACTTTCTATCCATAATAACTCGACGTCATTGTGAGTAAAGTATGCATGTAACTTATAGTTTGATATTGTTTAGGATGTATGCTCAGTAGGGCTCCGTGTGCTTTTGGAAGTGTGTCAGCAGTTGTTACTCCCCGGAGGCCCACGCCGTGGAAGTTGATTGGTCCTTTGGGTAAGTGGAAGAGAAAGAGGGTTAGTGTTGCGCGACCGCAGAGCCCAGGCGACAACTGCTTGAAGCCGGTCACACACGACCTATATGAACTGGTTTCTTGGATTGGTTCCGTATTAGTAAACCTACCGCCGGTTATGGACCACCGTAGGGTAAGTCGGGATGTTCAATTTTCGGGGTCGACCTTTTCTACCCCCCTCCCTACAGAGTTGAGAGACAGTATAGCTGGCTGGCATGCTGGTCATCTGAGGGAAACACCTCACTGCTGTTAAACCTCTGTTCCCCAGCAGTACGACTTCACCTACAGACCCCCAGCATAGTGTCAAAGAAATTTTACAAACTGCCTGTAACTGCTTTTAGTCTAACCGTTATCCTAAAAATCTTCCTGACATGGTAGAACCTGCGGGAACAATAGTTCCAGCCAGTGTAACATGTTGGGTCATTGCGATATACAAGCCCAGCGACCACCACGTCAAGCTAGTAGCTATTGATCGGGGTAGCCACATAAGAAAATGCAGACTTTCTGGTTGGGGTCCTCGGAACGGTAAACACCAATGAAGACTGGAGACAATTGTGGTGACATGGCTCAAAATCGTTCTCAATGGCTAGCGCAGATGCATCCACTCCTTGTGACTTATAATTTCCAATAAAACTATATCGTTCTTCGATATTACTATGCCTTTTGCCTCATATAACTCTTTACTGTCTGTGTTTTGAATTCCTTTCTACTTTTCTTTTCTTGCTTTGTGTGCTACATGGAGTGTGGTGACTCGAACTGCTACACATCGGTGCAAGGTTGGCTGTTTTTGATCATAGATGTCTACGATCTCTTTCTCACGTTAGGTGGTATAATAAGGTAATTAATGTTGACGTTAGGCGTACAGTGTTGGGCAAACAGGAAAAATCAATCGACGAGGCTATAAAGTTGCATAGATTGAGATGGCTACGTCACGTGCTGCGCATGCCTAACCATCGCCTCCCCCGACGACGGGCATTACCAGCTGATATAGGTGCAGGTTGGAAAAGAGTAAGTGGTGGCCAAACAAAAACACGTGGCATCAATCCATGAAATCCTTGACAGTTAAACTGAGTCAGGTAGGGAGATGCAGACTTCCGGGTTGGGACCCTCCGGACTCTAAAAATCAATGGCTGGAGACAACAGGTGACATGGCTCAAAATCGTTGTCAATGGCCAGCGCAGATGTATTCAGTCTCTAATCTTTCATATTCCTTTCTACCATTACCCATTCTGTTTCACTCTTATACTTGTCAGACTCTATTGATTCTCTTCAATCATCTTCTTGTCTACCTTTGTGTGCTATTTGGAACGTGGCAACTCGAACTGCTGCACTTCGGTGCCAAGTTCTATGTTGAAACCAGTCAGTCAGTGATGGTAGATGCATTCCAAAGGAAACACATGACCGTCAAAACATTTTACAGGAAGAAAAAAACAACAAATAAATAAATTAAAATATACTTATATTAAGACTAATAAACATGAACCATTCCATAAATAAATGTCCAAAATAAAATATATGTTATTAACTCTCCGAATACTCCTCCATAAGTTAAACATGATCGTTGAATAAAATATTTATTCCAAGATTTCCCTGTCTTTTGTAGCAATAATAATGATAAAAAACCATTTGCCATGAAGTAAAACATGAATCCAACTAGTCCTAAAGAAAATAAAATGAATGTTAGTTAGTTAGTTAGTCAGTCCAATAGAAAATTTCTCTCTTACCTGTTAAACCTAATATCCCAGCTGTACATCCAGAAAGTGCTGCAATCGATATACGACAATAATTGACGATAGCAAGATTATGCTGTGCAGCTGATGGACTATATGTTACTGTATCTGCTGGAGTTCCCATCTATTTGTGATTTTTAGTATTTTGCAATACGTTTGGTAGCAAAATAACCTTTGGAAGATTCTTGCAAAATGTATATTATCTGGACTGGTCTTCGAGTAGTAACTTCTTCAACCAGAGACAGTTCCTGTTGTAATATGTCTAGGAGTATGTCGATTTTCAATTCGTGATTTCGTTTATTTAGCTGAATATTGACAAAACAGTATTAGTATGGACACCCTATATATATATATATATATATATATATATATATATATATATATATATATATATATATGCAAGTAAAATGTAACTCCCACATACAATAGATAAGAGAAATAACAATTTGATAAAGACTAGTGAAGACCTACAGAAATACGTCAGCCACAGTGCAAATATATTTCAACTCAATTACCTTAAAAACATTCCACTATCACTGTTATTAAAAACACAGACATGGTGCATATTATGAGCACCAAGACATGTATCACAATGATCAGACATGCAGCCAGCAACAATGAGAGTGCCATGATAGTCTCCCATGAATTTGTTGTTCAGTAGTTTATGCGAGGCCTGAGATACTGCCTGCATGCCCAGACCGAAGCAGGTAGTTGTCTTTTAGGGACAACACCACGAGCATTAGACCTGAAGTCTGATTCACAAGCCGATGGGGCAGAGTGTTCCCATGATTACAACAGCTAACTGAAACAGCTTCATATGCCATTCGATCCTTTCAGATTCTACAGTTTGGAATTAAGGTTTCCCAGCTCTCTTAGATGGACCAGTATATCTTTAAAACATGTGTAGAAGGGCTTCATTGACTCCTCGCTTAGAAATATGAAGTGAAGTGTTAGAGCGCGTTGACCACTTCACTTATTTGGCAAGTCGCATCAGCCAACGCCAGAGCGTTGATCGCTGACGAAATGTCAGCACTGGTACAGAAGGCTCGGTTTGCATATTGCCAGTTTACGCCGTCTCTGGCTTAGTGGACGTGGTATCCGACTGGCTGTCGACCACAGGGAGTGTGTACTGATCAGCAGTCCACTCTGTCTTCCTCCATGGCTGTGAGACCTGGCCACTGAGAGTGGAGGACCTGAAAACACAGGCTAGCTGTGTTTGATCATAGGTACCTGCGTTCTATCTCCCTTGTGAAATGGTATAATAGGGTGAGCAATATTGAGTTTAGGCGTCGAGTGCTAGGTAAGGAGGGAGGGGAAATCAATCGACAAGGCTGTGAAGTTACATCGACTGAGATGGTTAGGACATGTGTTACGCATGCTGCCTTGCCATCCCCTTCATCGACAATGGGCAATGTTAGCTGACATAGGATGGATTACGTTGGAAAAGAGCCAGTGGTGGTCAAACCAAAACCAACACGGCTTCATCAGTCAATGAAATTAACAACAGTTAGTTTAAGCCACTTCCTGACTGGTTGGGGTCCTTGGGACGGTAAACACCAATCGCTGGAGACAATCGGTGATATGACTCAAAATCCTCGTTATCAATGGCTGGTACATATGCATCCAGTCTTTTCTAATAAAACTACATTTTTCTTCGACACTGCTATTCTTTTAGCCTGATATCTCTGCTTACTGTCCCTATTTCTGCGTTTCTTTCCACTTTCTTCCCTGGCTTTGTATGCTACGTGGTGTGGCGACTCGGCACAAAGTTGTGTTGAAACCAGTCAGTCATTACAAGGGTGTGGGCCCCACTTGATGTGTGAGGTTAGATGATACTGTTCAGGCTGAATCAGATGGCGAGAGACTGATACTGGAACCATGCTACAGCATCTTTTAACCTTGCCTTAAGAGTTTTACTCATCTTTTTTAGGTATGTTGGATAATCTGACTAGGGTGTTTCAGTGACTTCGCTGTATGTGGCAAGTGTTTGAAAAAGAGCGAATATTTGCAATCCATAGGCTTTTCAAGGTGATTTGACTGAGTTAACAGATTCGACTGATAACTCTGCAGATATATGATTTACCCTTGAGAATAAGGCTACATTTAACCGGTAAAAGCACTGAATATTTGTCTGGCAGTATCATAATATGTCTTACATGATAGCCAGTATTCGCATACTATTGTCATACATAGTTCAGAATTGTGACTTTCACCAAGCGTTCTCTCGGGTACCCAAACGTTTGGAAACCACGCCACCCGTTCGTACAGAACTCATCTTATCTTTCTAAGATATTTCAGTAATTCGTTAACAAATTAATTATTTAGTGGTTCTGTCTTTCTCAATTAACTAATACACTGAAACTAATATTGATATAGTTAGATGACTACGGAAGCAAGGTGTCATACAAATGCCGCTATGGATTACAAAAACTATAATAGGTTGTCTGGCGTCGAAACTCTCTTATTTTGTGTGTCGCTACCAGAGAGGTAATGTGTTATTAAATCTCGCCAAATCTAAAACACTAAAAAGGCATTCCCTTTTCAGTGATTTGCCTCCTTAATTCCATGCTCGTATAGTTTTAAAAGCTTCGTTTAACAAGCTGCATATTTTTAATTGAATGAAACACGACTCACTCGCCAATGGTTTAAAATAAAGCTCGAATCATTGGGAGCAGAGCAACAGACCAACTAACCTTGGGAATTCGAATTTTGCACCACCGAGCGACCTTAAGCCTACACGTGGCCAGCTACTGCACAGCATTGTACAAACTGTTTTGTATGATAACGAAATACTTTTAAGCTTTTCTAGCCCATTTCATGGTAAATAATCGTTCTCACGTGTTGCCTCTTGAACCAGTCAACGCAATACAGGACTCTCCAGAACAATTCTATGTTAATACGTTTGTTAGATAGATCACAAACTGGAGTAACACTGTTCACTGGACGCTTCTTACACAATTCGTTGTGCAAAGTCATATGAACTGTAACACAATAACTTTGAACCTCGGCTGTCATAATCTTGTTCATCTTTTTTCCCACTAGTTAGTTCGTATGTTTTCCGTTAACACTTGCATACTGTGGAATATATGCTGAACTCCTAATATGAATTCTTCCATTGACACTTTTGCTGTAATTCTTAGTCAAGTCAACTGAAAATATGCTTAATAGCAGTAACTCATGATGTGTCCAGGAGGTCTGGAAAAATCCACTACCCTAACGACAAATGGGCTCCAAACAACCGAGACAGTCGTTCGGCGCTTAGTACACTTCAATATTGCAAGCTAGAACTGTTACTTAACAAGTGTGGGTCTCAACAAGTAATATCAATTATTTGCATGTAAAGTCACTTGCACATGAGATTTTATTCACACTGAGCGAGTATATGAAGACAGCCCAAATGAACCGAGTGCCACATGTTTGGTGAAATGGCTTTGTGACTGTAAGACCCCTTTGAGAACCAGTTAGTTACTATGAGTACACAACTTCGAGCTCGCTTCTGGTCAGCTTCTGATAAAAATAATGCACGTTATTTCTGTGTGGCCGTCTATTCTGCTAGACCTAAGCACTAGCTGCGCTGCCCACTCACCATTTAACCCGGCCAACCCAACCTGGTGGCTTGGCTGTTCTTAGAACCGCCTCGACTAAAGAAAGGACAGCATGACACTCAATGCCCCTCTGAAGTGTATTTTTAACGATGATAAGAAGGGAGTATAGGAATACAAAACCTTTCGATAATCTCTTACTTGCGTTATCCCAGGAAAAATCCCATGATTTTACAAGCACTGGGGTTATTTTCCGGGTCAACTGTTCTTTGAGTCTGTGCTGTTTTTCGTCGATCTAAAATTGCAACTCTTTTCTGTTTTTCTCAGCAACAATTAATAGGGTTTGTTTGAGTGAGTGACCTCAAAGAAGACTGGTGTGCCATATCTCCCTAGATAACCGCTTGTTATGTTTGAGTTGCAACCTGAGGCTCTTAAATGTGTACGAAATTGAATCCTACAGTGAAAGGAACAGCCTGATAACGCTCTCGAACTGCCTGTGTGGAGATTATTGCGGTACAAAGCAGTGGTTTATTCCATTAATGACTCTAATACTGAACGAAGCACAGTGTCTTCCTGAAGAAAAGCGTCCTCACTTAGTGAGGAAAAATAACCACGGCTCCTCTTACACTGACATAATCATAAAGCAAAATGTAATGCTGTTGAAAGATGGAGATGGTTTACAACAAAGCCAGCGTGTCTTTATTATTTACGGGAGCGAGATGCAGTAATGGTAGCAAGTGCTTTCGCCGAAGGAAAAATAACTGAGAGGCCAGCCTTTCTTCTCACGTCTCAGTAGGCTGGTTAACAGCCGCTGACAAAAAGTAGCCTCATAAGAGAAGACTTGTAAACAGTGAGGTGCCGTTGATGAAATGAAGCAAAGAAAGGCACCCGTGCGCAGTTTCTCGTCATCGGAGGAAAATAAGAAACATCCTCAAAAGAGTAAGGTCAAATACCAGCCGACATGATCTTCATAGCAAATTTACCATTTCTCAGTAAGTGAAACAGCTTAGTAAGATAGGCCATGACACCGAGACCGAGCATGCACTTGATCTTGTAAGACCCACTTTTGATAGGTTGCCTCGCATCATGGAAGGCGTGGTTAATGCAGACAACTTGTAGAAGACAGATGACAATGTACTGGATAGTGAGTGGCCAAAAAAGTACAGAGCATCCTTCTTAGGGCTGCCTAACCCTCGAACACGGTGCTATACACTGAAAAAGAGCCAGCACGACCACTGCTCCAATATACGCCCTCAGTTTGAAGCGCAGACAGAAGCTAAGACATTCGCCAGTTCCTATTCTTTCACGAGATGCCGACTGCAAACCAATAAAGGTTACAGTAGATAAGACAGTTATTAAAAAGCGCCTACAATCACCTCACTTAGCCAACTAGTAAAACCAACAAAGCTTTGGGGGTCACTAATATACATACCTATCGGTTAACATAGTAGACCTCATGACCTCAACCCTCTCAAACCCCTCGGAATTAGCTCCTCAGAATATGACACCATCCGAAGGGTGATGGAATTATAACCACACACCTGCTGTAACCCTACCACCGTGCATCTATACATGTCTTTAGATGGCCCCAACGCCTCCCGAAAGTCAGCATTATCCTCTCGTAGCCATAACGTGAGAGTTAAAGCGGAATTCGACAACAAATCGTGGAGGAACATGCCACTCGTAGCCACTTCTAAGTCTTTAAAATCATCCACAGAAGAAGCTTCACTCGTAGGAGAGCAAGACGGAGTTATGCCATTAGTATGAATAATGGCAGAAATAATTCCGGACTCTTCACTAATAATAACGTCAGCACACACTCGCATAACATCTCAAGTCGCACTATAGCTCAAACCAGTAAGTGAAGTAGTAAAAACACCCCTCTAAGCGGTACAAGAGGCAATACTCAGCTACCGTACACTCAGGCACTTTACGAGAATATGACAGGCCCTTAGAAACACTGGACATTTCTGATTTGAAGCAAACTGTTACTATCCCTACAAGAGTTGACAACACGCTAGAAATAATATTCTGCCACAATATAAGTCCGCTCTATATCTTAGCGGGTTTCCAGTGAGCAGCCACGAACCACCGTGTGCACCAGCCCTTCTGCTGATTAGCAACGTAGCCTATACTTCTACTTTGTGATAGATAGCATACAGGAGTCACAGCAAGGCGGCATGGGCTTTCGCAAAATGAATGCTAAGATCCTATGAGCGGGGAGAACACTTCATCACCAATGACCCTTCGGAGGCTCTAAGCATCTTCTACCGGTACTTAGACAGATGCTTAGATGCTGTCACTACACCCCAAATACCAGAAGTTTCCCAGCATGAAAAGACATTTATGAAACCAGAGGATCTAACGAAGGTAAGGAGACTGCCGAAAAGTTACTCTGAGCAACGTGAATTTGGTGCACTGGGTTCAATACTTAACGCTCGTAGCTCCATCTCAAAAGCTCAATATTTGTGCATGAGGAATGAAGGACGCCTCACACAAGTCAGCGCTGCTAGAGTGTATGCTCCTACATAAATTCCAAAGGAGCGGCTGAATCACAGAAACCACATCATTTGTCTTATCATCGACAAGGGTAGGCTATACAGTGGCTCTGCAGAAATGTGTGTATTATTAAACAAAACGTTTACAGCTACCTTAATTATTATCGCTGAGTTCACACAAGCCGAAATCGACTAAGCCATCGAAACTCTCAGAACCACTGGTAATGTCAGCACTGACGGTATACTGTCATATTTCTGTAAATGCGATGGTTCTGAAATTTCTATATCACCGCTTAGGATCTTTACAATGTTCTTAGAAACTCAAACCTAACTGGATAAATATAAAGCGACAAATGTGTAAAACAGAAGTCAAAAATTATAGGTCGACCAGTATTACACCCATAGCATCCAGAATTATGGACAGACCGACAAAAAATAAAACCCCCAAATATATGCCTGGTTTCACTATTGTATGTCCCAACCAGCACTGACTTCATACTTGACCTGTCGTCCAGATTTTTTCAGCTATGGGACCAGTAGCCAAGACAGACGAAAACTAGTGCTTATCATCCAGTCTGAAATTTCTAAAGGGTTTGACAGCGTCGACCAGTCGGCTTTAATACACAGGCTGAATTCCTGAAGAATACATGACCCATTATTGGGATGGCTTATATCATTCCTTAACAACAGTTCCTAAAAAGTCATACTTAAGTCTGTGACTTCCAGACCTAGCCGAATTATCCATGGTGTAGCTGAAGGTAGTGTCACTGGACCCCTCCTATTCACACTTTATATCAACGGTATATGCGATTGCTTCTCACGTGGCAGATCATTCATCTTTGCAGATGAAGTAAAACCAGCTTACACATTCCACCGTGATGACTGAAGGTGCTTTCAGAGTGTTGTGCAGAATGAACTAGACAAAGTGACTGTGTGGTCATCTTTATGGAATCTATAGTTCAAACTTGGTAAGTAAAGTATTATTTACTTGAGAAAAACCTCGATAGACATCAGATTAACACTTTAGCCTGCTGAAATAACCAGACTCTAAAGTGTCGTTCACCTAGGCCTGAGGTACAGTAGTGACCTAACATTTTCTCAGCAAGTCCCATCGCAGACTCGAAAGTCAAGGATGCTCTTAGGATGCGTGGTCTGGAACTTTCAAGACAATGAAGTCAAACTCATGCCAAAAAAACATGTGTAAAGCCACTACTAGAATGCTGTCCATCTATTATCAGCGGCGCTCACATTAGCGACAAGCTGAGGATGGAGAGTATCCGACGATATTTCACGTCCAAAGTACTTGGCCAGGATTGTAAGATAGACTACATCTCACGGTTCTAAATGTTGACCCATTTCGGAAGAGGCTACTTCTTATAAGCCTAATATCCTTCTTTAAGCTATTGCACAAAGTGCCATTGCCAAGCAGCCAGGACTTACAGTTCCCACAGGAAGGCCATTACGAACTTCGTAGCCAAATATGCACAGTGAAAATAAAAGCCTTAAAGACACTACTCCATGGAAACCTCTTCAAAGTCATGTATTCTTAGATATGGCTAAAATCAGAGCCTGCAACTCCATTGTGGGGTGCAGAGACTGTTTACAGAAATAACTGCGTTGTAATGACTAAAATCACTGGGAATCCACTGATTTCTTCAGCACGAAACAAACTGTTGGACCACTAAATGTCTAAAAAACGAGTAAGATTTCGCTAATTACCC